ACAAAAAGTCTCCAAACAAACCTGTTGGCCATTTGGAAGATTTTTTGTTCGGCCGGCTTCCAGGGGGAAAATTGGTTCAATAGAAATCTTTGGCAAACACTTATAACTCCGAAGCCAGATAAAGGTGCCCTTTACTGTGGGAACACTTTGCCACGTAAAGAGGACTTTAGGAGAGGTTTGGGTTCCTTCCGTTCGGAGAAAGGAGAACAGAAAAAAAGAAGTGTTATGCATTGTATACATAGGCAGATTTCAATCAACTCGAAACGAAAGGGCAAAGTTATCGGAGGCGAGGGTCGAACAAAATGATTGAACCGTATTCCTAACAGTAAAGCAAAGAGCGCGATGAGAGATTGGCTCGATATGTTCGTTTAGACGCGTGACATCGCCGGTTTGTTCTTGGAGCAGGGCTCAATTTCAATGAACTGCTAAGCAGAGAATTAATCCAACCTATGGCAAAACTGAGCAAAATATATTGACCACCACAAGATGCTCTTAACATTTCGGTATTTTACGTCAATTAAAAAAAAAAACGCTTCTGGTCCATTACGCTTGTTGTTGGTCATCAACTCTGAAGTCTGAGCTGTATGATATAACGAAGGCCATGGAGGTATGATGGTCCGTGTTCTCACAAGCGAAAGGCAAATTATCATGACGCCAGATCCATGGGTGTTGCGGGGGAGGGGGTGTTTGATCCTTCGCCGTGGAAGAAAAAAAAAGTGGCGAGAGAAACAAAAGTTAAACAGTTGAGGAAAGGGGAGGAAATTCTCCAATTTGCTTGGAGATCCCTCGGAATTGCCCCTTTCCGCCGTTAATGGTTATCATCTTTCTGCTATGAGTGCTTTGCCCCTCCCCCCCCCGGAAAAGTCGTGGCGACGCCCATGGTCAGATCGAAAATTCGTGCTGCAAACTTGCAAAAGTCGAAAACATTTAAAGTGAAACGAATATTAAACGGCAAATATTTCTTTACGTCAATTTTGCTTTGACAGTGTCGTTGCCTTTTTCCATTTTCTGAATGTAAAAGGGTGAAAAACGCACCCTCAGAAACAGTGCAAAGGTTCCTTCACAAAACCACGACCAAAGGGTGAAAAACCACGAAAAAATGGGAACTACTCCCAGAAGAGTGAAAAAAAAAACTAAGAGATTGAAATTCGTTTACTCTTTAAAGGACCCACGTAAGGAAAACTCGGAAAAAGTTGTCATTTATATGGCTCCTCTTTTTGAGGGATTTTCAATTTTTTTCAAAGAGTTATTTTCACCTTTTAGATCTGCTTGCTTCACTCCATTGGAGTGGTTTTTATAAGGGACTCATTCCTCTGCAGGGGATGACATTTCTTTCACCCCACCTTCTTGTTTAGAGGCTAATTGGGAACCGCGGCACGGTGTAAAAATCAAAACACAATTCATGTCTGTCAAGACGCTCAACGAAAGAGACGCTGCCTTGCAAACGGGTCACTTATCAAAGCTTTTGCAATGTACAAGAAAAGGGAAACTTTCGTCAGATGCAGAGAGCTTTGTGATCGAAGACTGCGTGGATACGTTTTTCTCCTGGGTCCAGTACGGGTTTGATGTTTCACCAAGGGTGGGAAAAGAAGAAGAAATATACCAGCTCAGCCAATCTTCTGCAAGAATGGATAGGTTTACACAGGACTAACAACAGTATCATTTTGCCATGCGGTGTCTTATTTCTACGCAATCTGGCACCGGGGTATATAGGCTCCAAGCAGCTAGCGCGCGTCCAAGGAGTTTGAACCATAGGGGCGGGGTTGATGAACTGCTGGTCGACGAACTCCGGTTGGCTGCGCTGCGAGCGTCGGCAAACTATCTCCCAAAACACGGGTCTGACCGCGCCGAAGTTCCCCGCGTTGGCTTAATAATCACACCACCACATCAGGTACACTGGAGATCGAATTTGAAGTGAGACTAGTTCCACCTGTCGGTACGCTGGGTTAAACTTGTGTGCATCGACGAAAGTGCACAGTGCATCATAACGATTTTGACAGCAGGTTAATTTGTCACAAAAGCTTACTTTTTTTTAACCCGGAAAGATAAACTGTATGAGCTCTGTGTTGTTTGGAATGATACGACCAAACGAGTGAACGCAATTCCTCCAACATTAGACCTGTGGTGATGTTACTTTTCCATCTTTCCTTTGCCAGCGCCAGCGTGACAATGTCATCACTACCATTTCCTCAAATAAAACAAAAAATCTCTAATACGAACTCCTGACTTTTTTTTTTACTGTCCCCCGAACCCGATAGGCCGTGTCTCACCCGACCGTAACTTGGGCTGTTCGCTCGCAGTTGGCACCAAGCAGTGGCGTAACGGGGCTAAATGTCCGGGAGCCACCCGGGCTGCACACATATTTCAAGGGGGCACTACAAGACAAATGCAGCTGCATTACAGCGGATTTAATATTCAAGGTTTCAAATGGGGGGGGGGGGCACCCAGCGGGACGTGCCCGTGTTCCCGCCCCCCCCCGTAGTTACGCCACTGCACCAAAGGTCTCAAAACAAGCGCTTTCAGAGCCAGTCAGCATATAGCATTAGCTACGCATACGATAGTACAAAGAAGCCGTTTAAATCAAGACCGGTAGCTTATCTCCCAAACTCAAAGTGACCACTGGCCACTGACTGGCTAGCAGTGAAGGATCATTTTTAATTAAATGAACTATTATGTAATAAAAAAAACTGCAGTTTCTTTCAGCCTTGTCTGCCGGCATCCTTGTTCTGTGGCCTTGCAATGACTTTCTTGTATTGCCGACCCCCCCCCCCCGCTTTCCAGGCTTCGTTGGTGCAAGCATGGTGCAAGCACTTGCCCTCGCATCCCTGAAAATTTCCCTTTTTTTCTTGTCTTGTCTTTTTTTCCCTCGCGAATGACGTAACAGTATCGACGGGCGAGGCTGCAGACAGAAGTCACGTCACACGGTACCCAGACGACGCACGACCACTCCCCCGATTGCCGAATAGGGGACGCAGACTATTGCATGTGCAAAGCACGTGTGCGTCTCGCGCAATTCATGCACGAGACTTTGCTTCGTGCTATCGTCTCTGTACGCTGCCCTGGATGGTTGATCGGCCAGCTCAGCAGGCGCGCGTGTATTCTACACTTGTAAGAAAAAAATTGACATTTTGGCAAAAGTGAAGTCTCGTCAAAGGTTACAGGCAGTGCACTTGCCTACAGAACAAATAGAGGTGAACTTTTGGGTGAGTAAATAACCGCTTCTGATATTTCAGTTGCTCCAGTCAGCTTGGGAGAAAGTTCGACGCATAAAACTTCTTTTGAAATGTGCAAATCTATACACGTGGTACTACATGTGACGTAGGCCTACATGTACACGTAGGCCCATACTATTACAGTATTAGGCCTACACCGTAGTTTGGACGGTCGTCAACTACAAAGTACAAACTTAATCCCAATATGGCCTATATCACCACCGAAACTGACAATTTATGGTGTAGCCTAGGCCTACAACTTCGTTACCTTTTGGATATTACAGATCGTCCTCAGTTTTACGTGGATACTGTATGACCGGACTTCTAGAATTGGTTAAAATCGACGTTCGGAACCAAACTACACAAAAAAAATCACCTGTAATCTGAGAGAGTTGTAGTCAGTAGGCCTACTTTTGTGAAATAGCCTGCCGACATCATCACCGGTCTTGCCGGTTTAATGTGTAATATTGCTGGGGCCTAGGTCTCCTGAACGAAAGTACACAAACTGCAGTGTCCGAGTTTGTTGCTGTTAGGCCTACAGGGCCCCTGGCCCTTAGTAGCTCCTAGTTCAACTCTAAAATAGATTAATGTTTACGCACAAAATATTGGTCCGATCGGGAAAAGTTACACACAAAATAGAAATGGCAGGTCACGGATCTCGCTAGCGCAGTTGGCGTTGAGCTTGGTCACTTACTTAATCTCCTTCGGACGTCACCGATTCATCAATGACACCTTGCGGAACAGGTTCATTTGTTCACAAAAAAAAAAAGACATGTGATACGTGCGCACGCAGGCATACGCCTACGCCATTCCTGCATGGCCATTCGGAGAGTTTCTGCCCGGACTGTAGAACGAAAAAATTGTGGGAGTGTTTTGAAAGCAATCCGGAACTCTAAAACCAAGACATGGAGGGACGACGGTAATTTGACGTCACGACCCGAGTCCACAGCTGATGTCCCTGTACGGAGGGCGGACAAACCTTGTCGTGGTGACAATTAAGAGGCAAACTTCTGGCGCGGTGTATGTGAGGGCGTTGCTTTAAACCTTGAACGACGTCACAGTAGGCCAACCACTGTGGACTGCAACTCAGTGAAGGTCGAGTGCATGGTTTCCTTTCGGCATGGCTTCCGTGTCCATGATCATGTAGGCCTACTGGCCATGCGCTGATTCAAAATCGTGCCAACAACTTCCGTGCGAAATGGATTGATTCTAAAAATCAACATTGGACATCATTATGCTTTCTAGTTTGCGAGGGGCCTTCAGAAACCACTACTTAACTCGCGTAGAGCCTGGCAGTTGATTTTTTTTTTGTGAAAATACTTTTGCAAATCCCTGAAATTTCAGAAAGAGGAACAGAAATATTAAACTTATGCCATAATAGAACATCTGTGAATGGAATTACATTTTTTAAAAATCTCCCCATTATTAGACAGTTTCAATCATTTTACAAAATGCAGAATAGCCTTCAACTGAAGAAAAATATGCGGACAGAAAAAAAATCCTAGCTGCTAACAAAATCTCTGTACACCTTGTATACCGGGCAAGATATGGGAGGGAAGGGTACCCCCCTTACCTGTCCAATCCCTATACACACTCAAGACTATTGTTACCTAACACATCCCCCCTAGAAGTATGTAAAGAATTCCTGAGATTCCGATCGAACCATGACCAACACAAAGGTGGGAGGGGGGGTTCTCTCCGTCCCATGTCTTGCTTCAATTGACACATTGGAACTCCGACAAATGTTTTTGACATTATAATGTCGCTTTGTGTTCACCCTCACAACAGCGAAAAGTACACTTCGGTGCCACTGAGCATAAATCAACCGGTAATCTTTAATCTCAAATTCATTGCCACCGGCAGAGTGGGTGAGTTCTCCTTGTGTAGTTTTTATTTTGTAGTCACTCTCCCGCCACTCATATTTCCTTATAGAATTGGTGCTGACGATCAGAGGCACGCGCAACACGACGCGGTCCCACATCGCCGGACCGGGCGCGGATGCATATAAAATCAGCCACGTCTGGCGGGAATCGGTCACTTTTCCCGTCGAGCGACAGGCCAGTTTAACCAACGAGCCCCGCGTTGCAGCACCTTGCCACACGCAACACTCGCCCTCACTTGTTTTGACCGCAAGTAACACCCATACTGGATCGAGCACGGGGGAACACGGAACTCAATTACAACTTGAAAGGTGAGACAGGTAAATGTTACCTTCATCCCGGGCAGTGTTTATAATACTGTGAGTGGGATTTCACCTCTGAAAAGCCAGCGTTGGCAAAGTTTTCATTTCTAGCTTTGAAAGGAAAAAAATGTCTAGCACAATTCCGTATGTTGAGAGTAGAAACGTAGACTTGAAGTTTAATTGCATGTCCTTTTGTTTTGGTTTATTCCAAAGGCGTGCAGTCACAGCATTGAAATTGCCAATATGGAAGAGCAGGGATTTTTCACCAGTCAATCGCCAGTCATTCTAGACCGGGTGACGGCCGACGACAGCCCGCCGCCCCAGCCGCCGGTTCGCGTCATGCTGTGGTGCGTCCCGCGCTCCGTCTCCACCGCCTTCCTGAAGTGCATCGACGGCATGGACCGTCCGGCAGAGATCTTCCACGAGCCGTACTCAGTGGCCTACTACTTTGGGCCCGAGAGGAGGGCCCCGCCCGGCCCTCCCATCCCAGAGGAGCGCCAGTACACCTACAGCTGGGTCCGCAAGCAGCTGGAGGCTGACTACATCGGGAGGGAGGTGATCTTCTGCAAGGACATGGCGTTCGCTGTGGACGGGCGCTACGACGCCATCCCGGACGGCTTCAAGCACACCTTCCTCATCCGAAAGCCCGTCAAGGCTTTCAAGTCCTTCCACAAGGTGGTCAACGGGTACCCCGGCCAGACCGGGGAGGTGTCGGTCAAGAACGGCCTACCGCGGAGCTACGCCTTCAAGGAGTCCTACGACCTGTACAACCACATCTGCGCCAACTACCGCGAGAAGCCGATCATCGTCGACGCGGACGACCTGTGCCGCTCGCCCGGGAGCATCCTGAAGAAGTACTGCGCAGCGGTCGGGCTGCCCTTCTCCGAGAGCATGCTGTCGTGGCAACCGAGCGATGGCATCAGCTCGCGCTGGCACTGCGCGCCCAGTTTCAGGGCGCTCAACTCCACCATGGGAACGTACGAGCGAGCCCTGAAGAGCGAATCCTTCGTCTCCAAGGACCACAACCACAACGTGGAAGTGATTTCCAAAGATGGCCTTCCCAAAGGCGTGGTGGAGTGCAGCGAATTCAGTGAGCCATACTACAAGAAAATGTATGAGCTCAGGTTGAAGCCTTGAATGAAACTATTTTATATGCCAACAGGAAAAAAAAGAAGAAAACAGTTTCTGGTGTATATACTTTATTGCGTGATAATATTGTACATGTACATAATGGTTTTTCTACTTGTTGGCAATGTGGACGCCCTCTAGTGAAATTGGCCAGCAAATGGCAGTCGAGGATGGGTCGTCTTGTGAGTTCTGTTTAGAAAATTCCGATACAATATATACGTGCACGGATCCATAAAGTTGTCTAATTCTGTGTGGTAATTACGGGGTAACATAGAATCTACGGTTTATCACAATAACGATTTCGTGTTTTCTTTTTTTTTTCATGTGGGGCCTATATTGTTGTATTTCAATTACATGAGGTGTTTTGGAAAATTGAAACCTTGTAAAGAGTTTACAAACTTAAATACGGGTCTTTGATCCGGAGAGCCGACAAAAGTAAATGAAGAGAGATAGAGAAGGTTAATTATTTTTAAAGGATTTCGATGTAACTGCCGAAAGACCTCTTCCTTTTCGAACGAACAACAATTGACTAAAACGTAGCGAAACATGTAGGCAAGTTACCTCATTCGGCTTCTTGATCTTGTACACGAGTATAACATAATTTTGTCATCTTTGACTGTTCTTAACTTTCCTCAGACATGTTGTCTGATCCGATAATAATTGACTAATCGATTAGCTGAAATTGACAATTCCAATGCATAACCAATCTCTAAGTTTTGTTTTATGTCTGAGTTCTTGCCCAAATTAAACTTGTTTGAATTGTGGACGAATGTCACTTCACCGAATTACCGTTTGACAAGAAGGGATTTCTAAAATCTTGCACAGCACATTTGGAAAAAAGGCATCATGTCACATCCTACTCAACAGCCAGTCGCCGGGAAGAGGTGGGAGGAGTTTGCTGGTAATAAGTGGTGAATCTTGGAGATAGAGGGGTATATAGGCCTAGGGCATAGGTTCCCGACAAGCTGGCATTTCACAAAAAGATCAGTTTTATGCTGACCCATTTTTTTCCGGTTGCAAAACCGTGTACCCCACGCACGCTTTGTATTTGTGGATATATATTTTTGTATGAAGCCTTTCACTACTCTGCCAACTATGTATTTTACAGCTCAAAGGTTCCATTATGACGATACTTGCAACAACAAAAAATCAACTCTTGTATTTACTTCGTATGTTGAAGTTTTATAAATTGGTGTATTGCACGCTAGTGTTCAAAAGCTTTGTCTGTGTCTTTTGTTACCGAGTACAATGTGAGTTGGCCTATAGAAGATCTTCAGACAGTTAAGAATGCAGTGGGAGTGTTATAGAATTAAGGATTCGTGGTGTGGAACTATCGTCGTGTCGAATGCAGCTAAACTTTTTTTTTTATCCGGACGCTGAAATCCTTTACCACAGGATACAGGCAAACGACAGTTGACAGAAATTTACCTCACATAAATTTCGTACGGCTGTGCACGTGGATATGGGCCCACTCCTGCGGAGTTGAGACAAAAGCAGCGAAAGGCGTTATAGTGTCGTTTAAATCAAATTCATGTGTCAGGCAAAGTATCAATGGGATGGACCTGAAGATAACTGAAGATAATCTTTGCTGATTATACCTTCAATCTCTGAGACTACAAAATGTATAAAGCCGCTGCAAATTGGCTGATGGGTACTGATGAAATGAAGAGGAACCGTCTTTGTGTTCAAGGAACCATATCCGTTATCCCTGAAGCTCAAAATATAGCATTGACAACGGCGACGGAATTAAGGGGGGGGGGAGTTGGCACTTGGGACTGTCCCTGCAGAAGTCTGTGCCCTCGACCCCCTCCCATTTGAAATTTAGACAACCTAAATAAATGCAACAGGTTATTTGCTGTAAGTACGTACACCTTTGAGAATCGAATGATAATAAGTGCAAGTCCGAGGTCTGCCTCAGAAATTTCACCCCAGTTACTCATGTACAGTGATGTCAGCGTTTGCGTAGCATGCAAAAACAATATGGCGATGTGATTGATCATAACAGTTTCTGGCTAGGCTCTGTATAATGAACTCAGATCACTAGAAGTTATCACGTGCTGGCTTGGTCGGATTGAAATAGGCGTACGGGACGCACTGGCAAGTTGCGACCGCCGACCGGTCGGAATGTATAGTCGAAGTACCCTTACAGGGACTTTGCTTTGCGAGTGCAACCTCGCTTTTGTTCCAAGAGGCAGTTCCGGTGTTCCTGCAGGCAAAGGCATTCTGCCGTTGCATCCAACTATAAGGAAAATGCAATCACAAAAATGCAATGCGTCAAATTCGAGTATGACTACATCATTATTGAGTGAGACACGTACTGTGCATTCGCTCGAAGGGCTGATGGCCTTCCTCAGATTTTAGTGACGGAAATACGTCACACGGGGTCACAGCTAACGACGCGCAGAGCATTTTGGGTGAATTTCTGCGAGGCGCGCAAGCTCACTCAATGACACAAGCGGCGGTTATCAATTCAGTATTTTCTCTTTTTCTTCCTCATTTCGGAAAATATTCTCACTGCACTTTATTCGTTCATCCAAAATTGATCAAGATAACCAGTGATTTGAAATATATACTGAGAAGATAGATAACCACACTGCGATTGTACCGAGGCCATGTTTTCATATACATGTACATGATATAGCCAACATTTGCCTGTATCAAAACATTGCCATTGGCGAATTAAAAAAAATGATTAAAGTTTTTGCTAACAGGAAGTGATAACCTCGCGGTCACAGGTCGTCCACGATGTAGCCAATCACAGAGAAAAGCTTTCAGCCCTTTCTCGAGGCCTCACAAGGCGACAAGCAAACTGTTGGTCAAGAGGTGGCGCACTTCAATCGCACATTTCATAATCCCCGCACATCAAAATGGCGACGAGCAGCAGCGGTTCCGATCCTCAGCAGCCACCAGAAACGATGAGGCGGGTGGACCTCAAACGGGACGAGATTAGCCAAAAGGACCGCGAGTACATGGCCAGAATGTCCAGGGCGCACATGGAGAGCGTGCAAAAATTGTCCAGAGCAAAGTACATCAGGAGAAATGTCTTTGTTGCGCTGTGCTTGGGAGCTGGCGTGCTTGGCGTGTGTATCCTTGACCAATGATTAATTTGCTACAAAAGTACAATGCTAGCTAGGCCCCCTGGTCAGCTGGTTGAACAGGTAGCATAAGCCGCAGCGCAAATACTGCATGGGTGGTTGTACACATTGCCCCTTTTTCCTTCCCACAATGCCTTTCTACCATTACGCAAACTCACCCATGCAGTACTTGTGATAAGGTTTATGAGCTGGATTGAACACGAAATTGCTATTTACAACTAGCCTACTCTCTCTACTGCAAGTTAGTTTTCTTATACATGATATAGCCAACTGGTAATTAGCAGTAGAGGGGAGGGAATCCATACACAGCAGCCAAAATTATCAGGTCGGGGACCAAACCACAATCTACTTCGAGAACTCCAAGTCCCTAACTCCGTGATACTCTGTGTGACTTAGACATGTTAGAGGAGACAAGGTTTACATGGCGTTGTAATGCTATGGGGTTTTGGAATTGACTTTTTGTGGGGAAATGGTGCTCAGCCTCAAGAAAGCTATTAAATCCAATGGTTCCCCATCAGCAAACCTGCTTAATCTAATCCTCTTAAAAAGGGGATAGCAAAAGCTTCAGAGCATAAGACGTATTTTTGAAAAAAAGAAGAAGAGATTTTTGCTCACAAATTTCTTGCTTCCACCTGTTGACTGTCGCTCCGTTCATGCCGTTTGTGTTTACCAGACTGCGCATGCATTGAGCCCATCAATGACCGTGCCTGTTCCGCATCTTGGTTCGACCAATTTTGGTGGCAACACGATATGCTTTCTGTGAATGGTCCACTAGACCGGCGCGCTGTGACATCATCAACAGGACATAACATACAGTTCAAATTGCTTTTTGAAGAAAGATGGCGTCTATTAGGTTGCAACAAGAGTGTTTCTGATTTGAAGTTGAATTTTTCTTTTCTTCCCATATGTGAGTAAACCATATTATCATTATTGGAATCTCCAATTCTCACTTAATCCATAGATGGTTACATTTTAAGGACAGTTTTGGAGGTGAATTGGGAGGATTTTACTCGGGGTACAAGCTATTTTAAGTGAAATGAATAAATGGAAGCAAAAGCCCATGGAAGGTACTTGTACCCTACTCTCCCCAACCTTGTCCAAATGGTTTTAAAAAAGGCGATTTGTAGGGTCCAAGTTACTTGGACTAGGCCTAAAGCAACTTATCCAAGACTTTCTGGTTGTTCTGAAGTTTGACCAAGAGGTTTTCAGTAAAAATACAGTTGAGCCTGCAAAATGTAGGTTGTGTTTGGATGCGGTTCATCTGCATGGTGGTCAGATATGGAAAACTTGCCCATCTGTTGATGTTTTGTCAACTAAAGTGCATAGTACTGACTCTAATCTGTAAGTTGTGGTTTGGCCTAGGTCTATGTGGTTATTGTAGTCAAGGAAACGACCAACTGGCCAAGTTTTTTTTGATTCAGAGTATCATCTGCCCTGTCCCTTTTTGTTTCCTTAATGGTCGTACCCAATTTGATTCAGATGGCTATTCAATTTATGCAGTTTCGCAAGAAGCCTTCCTGGAGGACTTTGAAGACCCTAACAAGCCCAAGGACTTATGATGGTGCTATGGATGCTGAGGTCAAAGGGCACCTCCCAGAATGCAATTGGAAAATTCAATGCAACTGAAGTTTGCCTTTGTGCAGTACATCATATTACATGTGTCAGGAGATCAGCTGCAAGTGCGCCCTCTGGAGTCAGCGGTCAATCTACAAGTGTCCTAGTCTTCATCATGAACAAGTTCCCTCTGTGTTTCCAGACTCATTGTCATTCCAGACTTTGTACTTGCGGTTTTATGAATACATATATTGTGACATGCACCATCCGGTTCGTAAGTGTGACGTCACTTCAGTTTAAACCACGCCCGGTGCTCATGAACTGCACGTAGAGTTACATGCATTAATCGCGGCTTACATGGAATCATGGAACCGGAAGTTAACACGCAACATCAGCAATTGTCCAATGGGAGCCTGCAAATCATGGCGCGTCCACCTTTGTGACAAAGTCACTTACGAACCGGATTCCTCTGCATTAGCTAGCAGATGAGGTTATTGACCCGTCACCATTTGCGAGTTAGCCGCCCCATCAGATAACCTTATAGACTTTTTTCCTGTGATGTCACAATCGTGCTGGACCTATGATGTGATGGTAATAAGTGCATAGTGTTGTGATGGTAATCTACCGATTCAAGATAAACTAGTCAAGCATGCAGCGTTTGCACGTGGTTGAAGCTGCCCATAGGAATACATGCGATCACTGTGGCCGAGGCGGTCCACACGGGGTTGTATTGTTTACATTTAGTCACATGGATGAAAAAGGCCTATAGAGGTAATGCATTGCTGATGCATCGGAGGCTGTTCTTTGATTTCAGTTTTAATGAAGGCACCAAAGGTTTACCTAAGCCTATCCTAGTGATACAAAGGAGTGTAAAGATGTCTTAGATTGTCATCAGCGCTTTCAATTTTCTTTCTGAGCAAATCGTTGGTTATAAAAATTTTGTTATAAACTGCTGAGCACAGTGAACATTTTGTAAAATACAGACTTAAATGAAGTTGATTTGGCTTTGCGTCGGAAATGTTGAGTTTATACTTAGGTTTTGCCCTTACACCGATGTATATAGATGAATTCACTCTGGATGTCATTGTAGTTGCTGGGATTCGAACCCACGACTTCTTGCTTACTAGTGCAGGTGTCTAAACCACTCAAAAACCACGTTTGCTGGGATCAGGTGTCTTGGTTCGAATCCAAATGCAGCCGGAGGTACTGCCTGCCAGTACAGATTTATTGTGTTTCTATTCAGTGGTAGGTCGGTGAAGTTGAAAACTCTTAGTTCAGTTTGGCTTATTTTATGTGCTACTTCCTGCAGTTTTTTTTTTAAACGTGTGTAAAAGGTATTAACAGTGTGAGTAGAAACTATTTCAGTCGCGCAGAAAGTATTTGGATGTAGGATTGCTGACAGCTGTCTCAGAACAGGCACGAAAATATTTGATATTGCCGTCATTGTCGACTCCATTTTGTCACTGAAGCAATTTTGTAGACTAGTGTCCAAATTTGTGGGAGAGCAAAATGTTTCATTTCTACAATGTAATTTTGTATCGCAAAATCTGAACTCACAGACACATTAACAGGCATTGTTTGCAGACTGTCCACATAGGAAAAACTGACAAAACAAATGCAAGTACAATTTGACCAGAACAGTTTAATATACATTTTTGATTTCCTACCAAATAGCCAAACCAAGCTGATTTTCAGATCAAGAGTATAACGGTACAATTCAATGTTATCTACACTTCAGCAAATCCACAGGCCTATAACAGGTGAAGGAATATAATCTATAATAAATCTTTCGTCAAACGTTCAAGAAACTTGGTTCATGTTTTTCTTCCCCTAAATGGGTCATAATACCAGTTTTTTTTTTTTTAAAGTGAGGTGAGCTCTACATTTTAAACGAACAAAAACGCAGGATTTCATAGACGAAGTTTTGGTGTGTGTCGTCTGTGTGCATTGTTCTGGAGCATGCCTTTACATGTACAGGAGAAACATGGAAAAAAAACCACTGCCCGACTCAATACATAACTCTTGGCACTGAACATTTCGGTTGAATTCTCTTTTTTTTCCACTCCAGCTGGGACTAACATATAGCTATCAAGTGCAGAAAATTTTCCAAATGAAGAAACTAATTGTTTAGCAAATGCAGGTTACCGGCAAAAATGTTATGTATTGTATGTTTATTTTGACTGGTTCACAGCCGATGTTTGCCTTATGACAACAGGTCAGCTGGATTTAGCAGGCTTATGGCATAAGGTTGAGATCCAAACATTCTGCCACAAAAAATTCCAGGGCAAAGTAAGTACATCACATATAATCCAGCACTCTTTTGCTCTAAACTTTCGCCCGTATCAAAAAACTACTCAAGAGAATAGAAATATTTGTTTTTTCCTCTGAGCATAAAAACTGCTTACAAGAACCATCACAGCCATTTGCACGTCATTTCCGTCTGAAAATGCTGCTCGGATATCTGAGGCTATGTTGAGCAGAAATACGTATTTAAAATCTTTTCATAAACTTGGCTTTTGAATATTTCTCAAAGAGGTAATCCACAATTTTCTACTCTGCTCTTCCAAACACACTTCGGTAGAGAAATTGGGTTGATCAATGGTTTCTGGGAAAAAATCACCAGCACACAACATTTACAAAAAGCCCACGGTTGCAAACATCAACTGCCAATCCTTGATTACTAAGAATGTACCATGTACAATGTTGGCTGGGCCCTCATTGATTTGGTAAATTTCCCTGTTCGCTCAAGTCAAACTGAAAAGAAATAATGGCGGTTTGCAGCCCAAATTTGATGACCCTCTGCATATTTACTAACCCTGAACTGCATAGACATTTTTGCCATGAACCCTCTGAGATCGTCCGATATCTTCCTCTGGGTCAACCAGCCTCGGTCCTCAAAAGCCCTCTTAAACCTCTTGCTAGACTTTTTAAGGATGTGGGAGGGTTAGGTTTATGGAGGAACTGGTTGGCAAAGATGGATTAAAGACCGGCTGGCCCCACGTCAGTTCCAACTTGAATTTAGCCTATTAGTTACTCTAGACTAAGACTGTCCAAAACTGTCCCAGCCTGTTACCCTCTGCACTGCCCGGAACCAACATCTGAGCACTCTATGATTTTTCAGAATTTGTCAGTGAATATATACAATGTACATCAAAGGAGTAGATGTGCCGACGGGTAATACACAGAGAGTCCTGTGAACTCTACAAACGTGAAACGAGACGATTGGTTTCTGGTTTCAGTCTTCAATGTCGAAGTTGGGATGCACCACCAGCAGGGGGTCTGGCTCCTCCACGATGCCCTCCGGCTCTTTGTCACCTTTGCGCACCTTCAGCCCCGTCTTGGCCAGTTCTATCAAGATGTTGTCCTGAAGTGTTTAAAAAGGTTGAGACCTTGGCATTCAGCGAACCTCAAAATGACGGCAGGCATGAACAAAATGAAAACATTTTTGTACCGCCCAACTTGCAAATTATGACATGCTGACTGGAGTTTTGGGAAGTATAAAGCGGTTCAGAGTTCAACAATTTGAAGTTCTGTTGAAATTAAGCTTGTAAGCTACATTTCAGAATTTGTTGTTGTTTTGATATTTGGTCCTTCCAATCTTCTTTATACAGTCAATGAGCCCATTTGGTATTGCAAAGAGGCAGGCTCATTATGCGATTTCAAACAAGTTTAGTGTGTTTGAGTCGGCATATGGCTGCCCTGATAAGGTCGATCTCATGCATACACATTGACCTGCGGTGTGCTTCGTTTTGAGCAAGCGCAGTCTGAATACTGCACTCACTCGTTCAACATGAATAATTTCCTGTGTCAGACGTAAAATTCCAACCATGAGTTTGATAAGTTTGGAAGTACCGCAAAGAGATGGCCTTACCGTCTTGATCAATCTGTCGATGATCTTATCCACTTTCTGCTTGCTCTCGATGAGTTCTGCCTCTGTCTCAATCTCCCCTCGGGACTCCTTCAAGTGGAGGTACCAGTTGACCAGTTCGCTCCGATGCACCCCCTCAAACCCTTCCTCTAAAAAAGTGCGGGAAAAGTCCGCTGATTATCAAATCAAAATGTTTTTGGAATCGGGTCCAATTGATATTCAACAAATTCTGCAAGTTACTGGATTTGAACCTGGGTCACAGAGGGGAAATTATAACTCATTATGGCACTCGAAATGTTAAGTGCCATATGTTCAAAGCACTTTTCACAAAAATTCAGTTCTGAAATGAATAAACTTTCATTACTGAGTATTACATAAAAAATTCCATGCAAAAAAGTTTAAATACCACATGTTACCCGCAATCTTTTCTGAATTTAAGCTCAGAATGATGGTATTCTTAAAACCCTAATCTCATAAAATTTGTTTTGACACCACTGGTAACACAGTTTCTAATAATTTTCTTAAAACTCCAAGTCTGAAGCTCAGGATGCCATGCTAAGGAGGGACGAAATGTGTATAACAAAGCAAGAGATCCTCATTCTCAAAGCCTTGATTAATTATACAAAAAAAGGTCCACACGTAGGTTTGATCAAGAACAGTCGAGTGAACATACTCTGATGCTCCAGTCTTGGAAACAGACCAGCGGGGAAATTGGTTTTGTTCCCTGCCTACCTTCTTTCTCTTCCTGCTGTCTGACAAACGTGGCCAGCATCTTGGCGGTGGTCTTGTACTCGGCAAAGGACACCTGCAGACTCTTCTTCTTGGCTGGGGGCTGTTCCGGCTCCTTGACAGGCGTTGCTGGGGTGTCTGTTTCCATGGCATTGTCCTTGTCCTCTGGTTCAAGTTCTACAAAATGAGAGGTTATATATGGTCAATAAGTTAAAGAGAACTCACAGGAGTAAAAATTCTAAGTTAAAAAAAAAAAAAAAATTGATTAATTTCCAAAGATGCTTGGCATTCAGTGAGTCTATAATTAACAAATGCTGTTCAGAGCACTTAATGTCCTACACAGTTGAACTTATTCAGTTTATGCCTCTGAAATAGGCCTCGTTTCCTGACACTGTTTTGACAGTTTTCTGCCAATGAGCTCTCTCTTTTTAATCCAGTTTGCCAGATTAGACCAGCGGTGTGCAAAAAGAAAAACAGGAATGGTCGAGGCACACTTTTGTTACTTGGATGCGACGTTCGTCATTCTCCCGGATTTCCATCTCACCTGGTTCCATATCCTCCTCTTCCTCAAAGTTGATAACAGGTTGTTCCACGCGAATGATGGACTTGTTGAGGAGACGGAAAGCCTCCTTGACGTGCTTAGGTTGGACCTGGAGTAAAATATCAAGCAACTGCGCTGTCTTAAGAGCTGTCAAGGGCATCCTATCCAATCCAAGTATTGCTTCACTACTTTGCATTTTGTTTAAAACACGCTAAGCCTCCATTTGTCCGTATGGACACGCAAAATCAGGGAATTTGAAGTCAAAGATGGACCATGTGTTGAGCTTAAGCTTGACTTTTGTGAACAGCCTGTTATTGCAATTATCACTCGGTGAGCAAAGCATTGAAAGAGGTTGAGGTAGGAAATACCCTACAAACACTGATTCTTGCGAATCAGTATTTAAGGTGTTTAGCTGTATTTAAAAGTTGGCCGCTGTATCTTGCCCTTTTCAGAAATCGGAATTTTCGGCCAAAACAATACCATCCTTAATTCCTTAAAAAAAAAAAAAACTTTGCAACTTCTTGTAAAATATTAATCATATTCTGATTTTAAACATCAATTAAATCAGTAAATGGTAGGGGATAAAACAAATGGGCAAGTCTGACGTTTCTACCTCATCCTGGCAGTGAAGCCTGGCCATGGCCTCCGATAGGCGGATCATGCTCTCTAGCTGCCTGACGGTGATGCGCCATGATGACATGGTGCCCCCGGACGAATCGCGCTGGCGCAGACGGCGGTACTCCTCCACCATGAAATCCTGCGATTCCTTTGTGATCTGCAGCAGAAATGTATAAAATGCCAGGCATAGGACACACACTGCATGCACTGACAGGAATTCTGGTAGTACATGACCAAGTCGTATGAATCCATGTAAACCACGAACCACTTCATCTGGTACGCAATTATTTTGTCAATGTTAAAGGTAATAGCAGTGAAAGGAAACCAGTGAGAAAATATGTGTCAAAAAGTAAGGGCTATGGCTTAAAAAAAAAAACACCAAGAAAAGACGTTGGAAGTGGCTGTGGCCATTTGCATGGGACTTCCACAGGAAACATGTCATTGCCAACTGCATCAATTAAAACTCTTGGACTTAACTTACATGATCAAGCTAGTCTCATAATAATTATCAGACCCATATAGATTTAAGTATCTGGCAGACTCTAACCATATAGTCCCCTCTCACAGGGCCCCAAAACAATCCTTTAAATCGCTCCCTAGGAGAGTATACAAACATCAGTACAAGCATTTCAGGCGTTGGCAGGTTAATTAACCACAAAATAAACCTCTCTGCCCCACAGTTACCCTTTTATAATCCTGGGTGGGATGAAGCAAACAAAGGTAAAGTAACTTGCCCAAGGTCACAATGCAAGTCCCCCTGGAGGATTCAAACCCTGACCCCATTTAAAACCCTAACCACTCAGGCAAAGGCCCTGTGACAAAACTTGTTTCTCTAAACAAGAGAGAGGGAAGTGACATACCTTGGGCTTGAATTGCCTGGCAAACATCAGGTATCGCTGGATATCCTCTACACAGTAGACTCTCTCGACTGACTCCTTGTTCCTAGCGTGGAGATCGACAATCCGGCGAGCGATGGCGTAGTCTGTCACCTACCCAGAAGGAATCACAAATGTTTTGAACGTTTTATCGAAGTTGGACTGCCAAAGATGTAAGAGATACCATCAGGAAGTCAAAGTGATTTTCACTCGACAAAATTCCCACTAGACTTTTGTAAGCCCAAAACTTTACATAGATTCTTCTTCTGTTGATCTTTCCACTGTTTTGAGATGCTCTTTTCTTTTTTTAATTTGTGATAAATCTGTAGAGACAAACCTTTGTTGAAAAGAGTTTCTGAGGGTTGATTTTTTTCTGAGAAAAGTAATTTTACGGCAAAACAATCAAGAAAAAAGTGTCATCCTGACGAAGTAAATTTTTTACCTCATTGCACTCGTCAATGAGAATGAAGAAAAGATCGAATCTGGACATGATTGGGGCAGTCAGGTTGATGTTCTGCTTGAGCGGTTTTGTCCGGTCATACCGACCGCCGATGGGGTTGGCTGCAGCTAGGATCGAGGTACGGGCATTCAGTGTTGCCTGCGAGAGAAAGTTGTCCAGTGCATGAGGGTTATTTTTCATTTGCAAGAAATCAAACACATCATCTCCTTCGGTAATTCTATGAAGGAATCCACTGTCAAAACGGTCCGTATCAAGGAACATGGCTGTTCTGTCCTGCCAGTCATGCCACAAAAAGATGTTCCAAAACCTCAACGTCTCAAGGATTCTAGAAAATAAAGGTTCGTGGGGCTGAATCATAACCATATTTTTCCCTAAAGTATTCCATGTGTGAACCGTGATTCAATACTTGCTTTGGTTTACATGCAAATCCTTGTAAATCATAAGACAGAACTGATGTGGTCACAACAACTTGCAAGTGGGTTGCTTTGAGCACACATTGCGCTCCTTTGACCAACGGGGTGAATTTATCTCACAGATTGCTAACAGTGCTGTCTTCTTGTGGTTGCTACACCACAACTCCATCCCAGCTGAGTTTTGCTCCCTGCAGGAACTCACTCTGACTCCCGCCTTGGTGATGGAGATTGTCTGCTGCTCCATGGCTTCATGAATGGCCACCTGGTCCTTCACGTCCATCTTGTCGAACTCGTCGATGCAACACACGCCCTAGAAAATAGGAAAAAATATAGACCAACAACCTACTTGTAGCATTAACCACCATGCTTCATGTTCCTCAAAATGCTTCTCTAATAACTCAGTTCTGAGTCGGACTCATCCAATCAGGAAGAAAAATGCTTCAAATATGAATCTGAAAGTTTGCCATTGAAGTTTTTGGAAACTAAAAATAGAAATAGACACTGAAAGTAAAAATGCCAACACGTCAAACTTTACAAGTTATGACAGAATGGCCAACTAAGTGACATTGACCTATGTAGGTTTAATGAACTTTGACCCTTTGACTTACATTGTCTGCAAGCATGAGGGCACCCGCTTCGATGACAAACTCATGGGACTCCTCGTCCTTGACCACAGCCGCGGTCAGACCAGCAGCAGTGCTGGCTTTGCCGCTGGTGTACACAGCGCGGGGGCTGAAATCCTCCACAGCCCTGAGAGGAGAAAGAACACGAGTAAAAAAAATGCTGCCACAAAAATTACCACCAGCAGATATCTACAGTAAGTAGCAACAACAGGGGAGAATGCGTTACCCCCTGTCCGGTTAGTTCAGTGTTTTAAACTGCACATATGTACAATTTTTTGAGGGTAACTCTGGTTCTGTGCTCAGGCAATATATGAGTTTTCCTTTTTCACAACAGTCTTGGCAATTGCCAGTGGTCTTGGCAACAGCAAAGATGCCGATATTTGCTTCAAAACCTAGCCAACATTTGCATCTTGTCTGTGGGTTGGACAAAGTCCAGCCCACAGATTTCAACATATTTTTTGCCTTAACAATGCTGCAAAAAAAAATCCTTTTTCTGTCATTACAGCTATGCTCTGACAAAGTAGACTTTATCAAAGTGGGCCACCTACTTCAGAAACTGGCTCTTGGCCGTGCTGGGGTCACCCACAATGCAGACATTGATGTCTCCTCGTAGACTCGTCCCTTCCATCGTGGTCTTGGGCACGCCCCCGAACAACATCAGCAAGATACCTCGCTTGATCTCATCATTGCCTGCAGAGTAGGAAGCATTTTAATTTTTAGATTTTACCCCACTCTTATGGCTAAGTCTTTGCATTTTGCCAATCAACATGCAATCTTTTTAAATCGCTCACATTTTTCTAAATTGTAACAAATCTACAGTGAGAGATGACAGGTGATACGTGAAAAGGCTGTGGCACTTCTATGACAAGATATCTGTTCAGAGTTCTAGGAAGAACCAGTACATATACATCAAAAAAGTATTCAATACATCAGTGTAATTCAATCAAGTAGGCTCTGATATTTAAAAGTGACCAAACCTAAGATTCTATTTTTTCCCGAAAAGCCTTCTGTCCACATTTGAGAAATTAAGTGGCTACTTTACTTCCCCCATCGAAAAGTTTTGTTCCAGGTTATTTGATAAAAGACATAACTCAGCCAAACAAAATGACTAACTAACTCTTTTCAATCTTAACCGAGCCAACTGAAGCAGACTCTCTCAAGAACACGAGCACGACATATCCCTTAAACTGTCTGGCGCCCCCCCCCACACGCTCCCTCCCAACTCACCGTGTATAGTGGGGAAGAGGCTGGTGATGATGTTGTGGTACAAGTTCTTGTCCTGGCTCATCTCGTACACCTTCTGCCACTCCTGGTCCGTCATCTGCTTCTTGATGGCTTCCGCTGTCAACTCATCCCCTCGCATGTCTTTGCCCCCAAACTTGACACAGAGGAAAAAAAGCACTACTTCATGTGCTGAAAACTCACTTGATGAACTACTTACAACTAGACAACTGTAACAGGCAGCAGTAATTTGGGAAATATCACACACACAACTAAGGTCCCCTCCAATTTCATAAAAACTATGTTTGGTAAAATCACTTAACTACCATATCCAATAGCATGTTCTTTGTTCACTGTCTTTAAGCACGCACATTTATCAATCACTACAATATTTGCTTAGCAATAATATGGGTTGTCGGCTAAAATGTCATATACAGCGTCTACTGTCAGTTGTTGGTTCTCTGCTGGTATCTGCTTAGCTGGTGCATTTTCTGCTCAGTACTGTTTGCTAGGGATTGTGCTTACCCTTGGGTTGGATGGTGTGACATTACAAGCGAGGAAGGCAAGTCTGTAAGACAGATCTCGGACGCCCAGCGCCTTGAGACCTCGGACCCCCTCGTGGTTGTAACCCTCCCCTCCTTTGCTCCTGGTAGAGGACTCCTGCTGTGCTCCTAGTGGGTAGAGGGGGCAAAAATCGAATAAAATTGATTACTGAGGTGAAATTACGTAGGCAGTCCCTGTACAGAAACCAACACAGCCCAAACTGCACAACAATGTGAAGAACCCCCAAAAAATAAGTTGTAAAAAGCTGACCTGGGACTGACAACTGAGACACGTCGGGAACTACTATCAGGGTACCGGTGAAGTCACACTTGTCCCCCGCCTGGGGCAGTTCTACAGCCTCGGCCCGCAGAATGATCTCAACGCTAATGGAGATGAGGTTGGGGTGAGGAAAAACAACATAATATACAGGTTTTTCAAACTGGACAGATGAACATATTTGGTTTTACACGATATTGAGACTGGACAGAATTGCGAAATTTGTAATTGTATCTGCAAGGATAGGCCTCATCGACCCCCCACAAATGTCTGATTCATTTATAAGGATGTGCTCATTTCAATCGAGATGTCTAGGTGTTGCCCATTCTGCTCAAATTACTTCATTTTCTGAGTTAAATTTTTTGAACCTCGTTGGATAAAAGTCAACAACAAAGACCAGGTTCCATTTTACCTAAAAACTGGTATATTGCATTTTGGACCTCTTTGGATGATTGCACACTTTTTCTCCCTCCTGTGTTAACTCCGTGAAAGGGCACGACGTACCTTCTTGGGATGCTACCCCTCGGAAGCTCGGCTTGCGTTTCCTGAATGCGCACTTTCTGGAAGTCCACAAAACGCGACTTGTTGGTGTCCAGCATGAAGCGGTTCCGGTTGAAGCAGGCAGGATTACGACAGATTGTCGGCTGTGTAAGCAAAGACCCCCCCCCAAAAAAAATCACTTAGTCGAACGGCACTTTGTGAATAAATGTACCTTATTTGTGCCTATTACTAGTCTTGATTCAAGGCTCAGCCAACTGTGCAGAATTCACTCACTGTAGAGCCTTTTTAGTTCATAGAAAGTTGAGACCTGAGCCATTATAGATGCAAGTTTGCAAGTTATTGTATGTTATGCGCATAAAACAATGGCAAAAAAATTTAGTGTAGAGAATCAGCATATTTTGGAGGGATGGATTAATTTTCCAACCTGTGTGTATTTGAACTGCTGCTCAACATCTTTGATGACCGTTTGGCAGTCCAGACAGACAAATGTCCCGCTGACCAACTCCGGATGGACAGGGTGGGTCCGGACAACCTGACCACTGATGCGTATGATGGTGCCGATCTTGGCTGTGCTCAGCTCTCGCACTCTGTTCATCAATGTGTAATAGTTAACAGTTAGCAGTTAAATGTCACATTTTTAATTCATCAGTTGGAAAAATTTGTTTCTCACTGAAAGATGGAACGTTGTCAGAGGTCAGGTGAGAAAGTAGAAAGTTAGATAATGGTTGTCTGTTTGAATTAGTGAAGAATAAAGCTGGCATAAATGTACACAGTACAAACGAATGAATTACCAGTGTAGGCACATACAGAAAGTCAAATAAATTTTTCCTTACTGCAGAAGGCTAAGGAAAAAGTATTCAGAGAAGGAATTAAATGCCACAGCCTCTGTACTTCAAACAAAACTAAAATGTTAACCCTAATCCTTTCAATTCCATCAAAATCCATCATGTTTGGAAGGATTCTGTAGGATTGAGAGAGGTTCATCCTAGCCTAGCCATTTTGCATGGGACCTGATGCCCCTTGAAAGTTGAAGATCAAAGAATTCAGCATTCCTTCGCAATGTGAATTTTGTAGGAAAGATATCTTTAAGCTCAATCTCATAGTTGATTGATGCAATTGCTGTGCTCTACTGCATCCTTATCCCTCAATGTACGGCAAAACCTGGGCCCAATTTCTGCTCACCAGAAAGTACTACCAATCAAATTCTACAGCAAGGAAAACAATTAACTGAAACCAGTTATGAAAGATATGCAGTGTATGACATTTTGGCCAATACCCTTTTTTGTCAAGCGAAAAACTGTTGTTGCTAAGCCAATTTTTTGTTGTTGTTGTGCAAAACTAAGCAGCCGTGTCCGATTGGGCCCGGAAGTTCAATGGACTGCTGCTGATTATCAAATTTGGAAATTATGTTACTTGTGTCTCGTTGGTACATCTTCGAAGGCGACGTAGAACTCCTTGGATGGGGGAATCTGGCTGCGGTCTCGCGCAAAGTTCCTGACAGCTGTACAGAGGTAGGGGTAGACTCTGGAATCGACAAGGAAAACGGAACAGTTGTCAAAAAGTGAAATTGTACACTAAGTTTCACCTTAAACTGTCAATGCTAGAAAGTGAAAACAGAAGTTCTGAAGTAGCCGAGATATTTCCATTGAAGCTATAAGTTTTAATTTGAAAGAAAAACGCACATAGGGCCTACATGTCACAACCACTTTGTACAATACAGATAAGATTCTTCTAACTGGGAAAAGGTGACTTTTAAAGGAGTTTTATCAAGAGGTTTATTCTGATGAAATCTACTTTTGCGGAAAAAAATGGAGCATTGTTGTTAAGCACAATCTTGAACCTTGTGCAAATTTACTGTAGGCCTACTCCATCCAGAGTTGAATTGCCTTTGACTAACATCCATTCATAGGATAATTAACCCAGACGGGAGTAAAAGAAATTCGCGCAAGATTCAAGATTGCGCTGAACACTGTTTTATGCTAACTAAAGTTTCAGGCAGAGTTTTCAATGTTCAGGCAATCTGTTCACCGGTAATATTCCTCCTGGATTGTGGTTGCCAGCTGTTGGTTGTAGTGCTGGATGTCGTCAAAGCTCACGGTCAGTGTGTTCCTCTCTGGACGGATCAACTCCTCCACTCCTTGTTGATACTTCAGCTCGCCATCCACAGTAAATCTTGAACATTTAGAACAGGAAACATTTGATTTTGGTCTGAGGATGTTGCATTTTTCCAAGTTGTCAAGTTCCAAGTTAGCGCTAAAAATGTAGAACACGTTCAACTTCAACTTACTACTTAGTCAACTTACTCTTCTAAAAAGTCCTGAAATAACTTCTGGCATTTCTCGGCAACTGCGTCCTTCACTTGAGCAACGCCTGTTCTCTGGTCAGCGACATCCATTTCCGAAAAATGCAGGAATTTCGGCAGAAATCAAGCAAAATATCAGTCAAATCCTGCACGGGGTATGTTCACTGTTAAAAGACATGAAAGATAGCGGTGCACACTATGATCGCACTTTCGCGCCACCTGACCATGTGATGTTTATTAGGACTGGGCATTTAAATCTCTTGCCCTCTGTAACAAATATCGAGAATAATCTTATGCTTTAATATAAAGGTAAGAAATAGTTATAAAAGGACTAAAATTAAAAAATTAACTTATTTGTAAATAGTACGTATTATTCAAGTTAATCTAAATTTTTTGTTGAGATTTTTAAGAGAGGCATTTTTGTTTTTACATATCCTGCACAGAGGGGCTACTTGTGGTAATTTCAACAGCAAGCGCGGTAAATTTGTGTTGCAATTGACGTTGATGGCGCTCTCCAGACATGTGTGACATATGTACACAGATCTACGTAAGAGAAAAGCAAACAAAAGGCCAAGTTGCTGCGGGAAAAGTACATGTCCTTGTCTCTTAGTAAATGGAGGGTGGATTTGAAGTAGATCTTGTCACTGCTTTGAAAGACGTCGTTGATAGCAGTCGATGGCGATGTGTAGGTCACACAGATCTCTTCAAGGGGAAGACTTGCACCCGGTAACCGAAGATGACGAAGTTTTGCTCCTCCCTTTTTAGGCCTAGCTCCATGGCCTAGTCTAGCCCCACTAGTGTGGCACGGACTCTCACTCCCGATCCATCCTTGGATGGGGCTAGGCCTAGTCGAGTCCTGCCCGTCAGCTCGCACACATGTCATGCATGTCGGCTGCTCGCACACATGTCATGCATGTGGGCTGCTCCAACCATTATGTTGAGACTAAGGCCCTATGTCACTTTTGAAACTTGACAGGGAAAGAGTTCCATGATATACGACACCAGTAATTATTCCCTACAGTGACTAATATTATAGCCTTCAGAGGGCGAAAACATGTCTAGAAAAGTTCAGTTTAGGAGAGAAAAAACTAAGTGAGTCGTTTACTTAGAAAACACTGAATTTTTCAGACCAGTCTCATAGGGTTTGTACATGGGGTGTTAAGTGGCATCCATATATGGATCTCCTTCCCTTGACAGAAACTGAAAAGTCCCCACTGCTTAGATGACCTTGGACAAAAAAGATGGTCATTGAAAAAAAATCCTCACTCTTGGAACTTGACTAGTCCAAGTAACTAGTGTGACTAGGACTACTTCCACTTCTATGCTGATACTTGGCAAAGTCCCCACTTTGGGATATCACACCAAGGATGAACGTATGTCCAATAACATCAAGGAGTAGGACTCTACAAGTTGCCTCTTTCAACATTGGGACATGATTGGAGATAGTAGTGTACTATTATGGACCATGTCCAAATGAGGTGATTTATTGAGTCCTATTTACTCATCCCCAGAGCTGTTGGGTCCTACGTCCGCCCCGCTCCCGTTTGTCGAACTAGGACTTGACAAACATGAGCAAATTGTGAAATCAGACTGGGACAGCCCCACCCAGATTAGCAGATTAGTGTTGGTACATCACGTTTTCCCTTCCACTGTTGATAAGCCATTAAAAAGTGATAAAATTGTCTAAAAAGTCCAATTAGCAGTGAAAATTTGGAAGCAAACATAAGATTTTCAGACCAGTCTCATAGGGTTTGTGCGCAGGGTGTCAAATGATGCTTGTGTATGGAAGTCTTTCCGGGGTGTTAAATATCGTAGCCAGTCAACTCAATCCTCTGACCTGGGCTTTGTGAAGTTGTTTTTTTGACAAGTTTACCGTGATTTTCCTGTTAGGTGTTAAAAGTTCTTGTATGCTTGGGTCCTGAATATCATTCAATTCTGTTGGAAGGTTGCCATCTTTCATTGTATGGCTAGGTTTTCATTTGCCCTTCATTTTCTAGTGTTTGCAATAACCTAAAGCTTGAAGATCGAAGTTGAAAGTGATTCTGAGGTATTGCTCCCTGCCTGGTTGAAAGTGAAGCATTTCACGAACAGAAAGGTTGAAAGTAGAGAATCTTTGTAAGATCTTAAAAGGACATGTGCAGAGAGAGCTCCAGAACTGATTCAGTTGATGTTTTCTTGGAATTTGCTTCCGGAATGACAGGCTGTATTCTCTTGGAGGAGAAGAAGATGTGGTGGTTGTCAGACTCACCCCAGACAAGTTTTATGCACTAGGCGCTGACTGTCCCCATGAAGGTATTCCACCCTTTGTGCTTTTTCTGGCTTGGAGTAAAGTATTGCCTGTTATTGGTTTGTTGTGGGGTAGAAGCTACCTGTCCCTGTGAGTCCATCACAAGTCCAGACCAAGGATGAAGAATGTCAAAGGTTGCTTTTGTTAGAGTTCAATTGAATTTCCTCTACCTTGGTGGTGAGTGATTGACCTGGATGACTCGTGATTGACTTGCAGTGACTTGTGATGGACTTGCAGTGACTCATGATGGACTTGCAGTGACTCATGATGGACTTGCAGTGACTCATGATGGACTTGCAGTGACTCATGATGGACTTGCAGTGACTCGTGATGGACTTGCAGTGACTCATGATGGACTTGCAGTGACTCATGATGGACTTGCAGTGACTCATGATGGACTTGCAGTGACTCATGATGGACTTGCAGTGACTTGTGATGGACTTGTAGTGACTCATGATGGACTTGCAGTGACTCATGATGGACTTGCAGTGACTTGTGATGGACTTGCAGTGACTTGTGATGGACTTGCAGTGACTTGTGATGGACTTGCAGTGACTTGTGATGGACTTGTAGTGACTTGTGATGGACTTGCAGTGACTTGTGATGGACTTGCAGTGACTTGTGATGGACTTGCAGTGACTTGTGATGGACTTGTAGTGACTTGTGATGGACNTTGCAGTGACTCGTGATGGACTTGCAGTGACTCGTGATGGACTTGCAGTGACTTGTGATGGACTTGTAGTGACTTGTGATGGACTTGCAGTGACTCATGATGGACTTGCAGTGACTTGTGATGGACTTGCAGTGACTCATGAAGGACTTACAGTGACTCGTGATGGACTTGCAGGGACTCGTGATGGACTTGCAGGGACTCGTGATGGACTTGACTACAGCCCCACTTATGACATCATTTTCATCCAGTAGAGTCTTGTCTTTGTATTTGGTGAAAGAAAATTCACTATTGGCATTGTTATTCCCGTGTACCAGCTTGCCAGCTGTGTGCTTACAGTATTTTATTTTTTTAATGAATTCTGGGGACCTGTAAGTCAGATTGTCAGGGTATATGGACACATTCTTTATTACGTGATTGGTGTGTGCTGTACGGGCACGTTGGTTATGCACCATGGTACCACCAAATTAACAGTCAACCAAGTTTCCTTACAATTTCCAGCTTGTTTTCCCCTCGTTTGTCAAATGCAGACTATTGAGTTCATCAATGCTATTTTCTTGCTGGCATTTTGGCACAGGTGGCCCGTTAGATCTCGGCGACATTGAAGACATTGACGGCCACATGTGCATTGTGTGCCCCTGGCACGACTATGACTTCCGATTGGACAACGGAGACTCCACGTCAGGTCTCAAGGTGAGACAACAGCCCAGTTTAATTAATAGATGTGTATATAGCAGCATACACAGGGGCACAGGACAAAATTTAGACTATGTAATCTGTGCGTGAGCAGACGAGGGCAGTGTTGTGGTAAAAAACGTTGAGGAATGGGCATTTACATTTCACTGGTTCGCGTGCGGTTCACCTGTTTACATTCCGCATTTGGTCTGTCAAATCCAGATTTTTAGCTGCATTTAGTTTATTGCAGTTTTTGTTTCATTTTACTCCATCTTTATTTCTCCTGCAGCAACAAACTTACGCTGTCAAGCTAGTAGACGACCAACTGTACATCAACACAAGTCTAGATTTATCTCACACAAAGAGTTCTGAGAAGCAACTTGACAAGAAACGTAAATATGTAAAGATTTATAGATAGATTTCTAAATTGGTTAGTATTGTTAGATAACGAACGAGCCCTAGTTTATTTTGTGACAGATGTAAATCCTATTACAGCAGTAAATGAAATGAATTATTGTCTAAAATGCCCAAATTTAACCTTTTAATTAGGAGATCTTTAGTTGAATTGTTACAGTAGATCTTTTGACAAGTGGTATAATGAGAATCTTTAAGCCAATATTCTGCTGAATTAATTGGTGAGAGGTCTGCATAGTGGGCTTGGGTCTGGAACACTATTAAGTCCACCAGTTAGCCAGGTTTTGATGAGGCTTTGGTTTGAAGAATCGGGGGAAAATAATGTGACCTCATTCTAAATTCAAGATGAAAATTTCCTTCCTTTTGTCAAGACAGATGAAGCAGAACAACAGCTGAGGTCATGCTCAGAAGGCGAGGACACGCTGTGCAGTTGGGCTGTGAAGATATTGTGTACTGCAGACCCGAACGAGAAGGTTTGTGAATATTCGTGTCATTTTTGTTTTATTCATAAGGGATGCATTTTCCAATTTCTTCAAAACCAAAGATTTGCCCTTTATCCGTCAAGGCTCTGTGCTGTTTCCTTATTTCATCTGCTGTCAAATCGTAGTCTCCATTTGTACCCAAACCAGTCAGGACAGTAAGTAATTTTTACTGGAGTTTACATTCCGAATCCATTAATATTGTAGAACCTGGTATTGAATATTGGCAATTTTTCTTCATATTGAAGTGATTTTTGTGTGGGTTTTGTAAAGAAATATTGTACTTAACAAAGTGATGGTTTACTTTTCCAACAAACCCTGCAAATTTTTGAAGAATGAGAAAATTTGGTCTTGGTTTCCCAAACTTTGATCTTGTCTGACAAAACTTACCCGCACAATCAATTTTGTTCTACATTTATCAGCTTTTGACCGGGCATATACCAAGCTCACTTGAGAACACTTACAAAAATCAAACTAAAAAACACCAACAGGATTTTGCTGCAGGGAGTTTTGGGATTACACTTCCTTTGGACCTTTTGTCTGGACACATCTTTTCTTGGCCTGATGCATACCGAACGTGACCAGTAAATGGGCGATGTTCAAGTGTAATTTTGTAGCTCTGGTATCCTTTCTCCTTTCCCCCTTCGTCTCATCAAAGGTGAGGCTGACGCACGAGATTCAGGAGAGATGGCAGAGGGGAGACCTGACAGAAGTAGGGAGATGCCAGCCCCCTGATCAGCCCCACCGTGTAGAGTCATTGAACGTAGTTGCTCCTGGGAAGATCAAGCGTGGCAAGGCGGGCACACTGGTAAAAAAAGAATTTTTTTTCGTCATTCCTGGGTTCGCTTTTGTGATAGTTGCCTGAGTTCAAAGTATTCCGTGATGAACTTGTCCAGATGTGGTGTTATTTTTTAGTTCAAAATGCCAACGTTGTAAAATGACAAGATACCACAACCACAGTCCTGTACAAAGTTGGACGTTACAGATGCAGACCCTTAGTGGTCATTTGTTCCAGATTTGTGTGACATTTAACCCTAACTCCCTGGGGTGTACGTAAAATCATATTAAAATTGGAGGATTTGGGACTGTTAGGGTTAAGCGATATGTGGAGCCATGCCTGGCCGTGGCACACTGCCGCTTGAGGGCTGTGCATGTGCTCTATCTCCACGGATTAGCTTAAGCCTCTGTTTGCATACAAACTCACTTGCAATCACTCAAGCATTGGGATGAGTGGAGATGCCACCTGGCATTGCATACAGAATTCACCAGAAATGTCCTCCATGTCATGACACAGGAAATTCATGCATATTAACGTGTCATCTGGAGAGATGTGGTTAACTTTTAACCCCAGACATTTTTGCTGGGAGTGCACCTGAATCTAAACTTTCTTGGGGCAATTAAGTCATTTGTAATGTAGCAGTGGATGGGTTTTTCCAGTCGATAGCAGAAATATATTTTCAATACAGTCTGCGATATGGGACCTTTTCAAAGAAATACTGCTTAGCATGTAAATATGTTCAGAAAACAAACTAGTTGGTAACATTCATACGCATTAAAGATCGCAAAACATTTTGGCTGGTAATCTGTTTATCGCAAGCAGATATTTTTGTGCTCTGCCGATTTTTTTTACATAAAAGCTAAAGATTGGAACCTGAAGGCCACTTTCTATTTATGAAAATAAGATATTTGTTTCATAATCACAACGCGATTGTCTCTCTTTCTTTCAAGGGCAACCGCATCGCGTTGCTGCATTCCCTGGCCAACATCGAACAGTGGGCCATTGATCTGTCTTGGGACATCATCGCGAGGTTCGCAGACACCACCCTGGGTGATAGGAGTCACCTTCCCAAGGATTTCTTCACAGACTTTGTCAAAGTCGCAGGGGATGAAGCCAAGGTATAAAGCCGACGATGAAGCATTTCCTTGAGAGATCTCAAGTATTTATAAAGATATCTCTTCATTAAGTCCAGAAAAAAAATTTTCTTCCATTCTGCCTCTTTCAAAAGTCATCACGCATTCACTTCATTGGTTATGCTGGATTTTTTTATGGAAGACTCCATTGTTACTGCTTTGTATTAAATATCGTACCTTCCAAAGATTGAAAACATTCCACGGATAAACCAAACTTCAAACTGCACTCAGTCTTATTTCATTTTTGACAGCATTTCACGATACTGGAGAACAGGCTCCAAGCCTTGGGAAGTCATTTTGGGGCACTCCCCGTACATAATGGTAAGATGAGTTTGCTCTAGTTTCGCGCTGTGAGTGCACACTCTTCTGAGATTGAATATTGCAGTTGCCCAGTCAGAATGTTTTGTTTTTTAAATTAGCTGGTCAATCCTGACACCCTTTTTGGAACAGAGAGTGCGAAGTGAGATGGGCAAAAATAGCTGAAACTTGATCATATGATGAGATATCATTGGATAGCACAAGAACTTTTGACGATATTGGAAGGTCATGAGTAGGACCCCTAAATGAAGAGCCAAAGTTCTATGAAGAGCCAAAGTTCTATGCAGAATCAAAAGTTGTACTTGGAGACTGAAGAACTCTCTTGATTACCTAAGAACCGAATGAGGAACCAGGGCCCTACCTGAAGAACCAAAAATCTATGCAGAATCAAAATCCTACTGGGAGACTGAAGAACTCTCTTGATTAACAAAGAACCGAATGAGGAACCAGGACCTTACCTGAAGAACCAAAAATCTACATGCATTTGGTGAACAATGAATCATATGCAGGAACAAAGAACCCTCAAGCAAGGGCACTTCGAACAAAAACCACACTTACAATGACCAGAAATTTGTTTTCAGACAATCAAGCACACTTTGGGGTGTTGAAACTTTTTTTTTTGGTCAACTTGACTGCACGTAGGTTTGTGGCAGTCGGCCACGGAGACTAAACACAATCTCCTAGCCAGGCTGGCAGTGGTCCACATGGTGCATGAAGCAAGGTAAGACAACCACAGCCACTGCACGTAACAGGGCTGCGAAACTGTTCAAAAAAATTGAACAAAACCACACAGAAAAAACTGCACTAAGATTAAGTGCATTTCCTGACCTACACATGCCAAATGGCAACTCCTGTGCTTGAATGAAATTTCTGTCGTTTTTTTGGAGGGGGGGGTGTACAAATGCAGTTTCATAAGTTTGTGGGTTTTTTGGTCATATATACAGCCAGTCATGTAAATGTCAGAGGGCTCATATTTCTGCTGCACAGAATGTCCTTGAAAGAGAATACTGGAAAAACTGGCTTGTGAATGTAAATGCGAGTGGTCTGTTGAGATGCCAAGATATTTTGAGGGTAGTTTCGAGCCTGAATACCAGGCCCCATGGAACCAATGGGTCAAGCGAGGATTTTTTGTGAAATATCATCTACAGACATGTTCCTGTTGTTGTGTAGGGGTCTTGATGTACACCCGAAGACACTAGAGTGGTTTTCCAAGCAGGGGGATGACGACTCAGTCGCAGTCTTGGATGTCATCTATGCCGACGAGATCACCCATGTGGCAGCGGGGATGAGATGGTTCACGTACGTCTGTCGCCACGCAGTACCTCCGCTAGAGTGCATCTCGGAGTTCCAAAAGCTTGTCAGAAAGCATTTCAGGTACGAAACATAAGTTTAGCAGTATTTGCCTCGTTTCACTTGGAAGGCATGCGCAAGACTGTACTTTCCATTGACCCTTAAAATTTTTCAAACCATCAATGTTACTCCCCAATTTCGGAGAACTGAAATTGTAAATATTCTTTTCTGGGTTGATTTTTTTTTTCTATTTTAGGGGTCTCCTGAAACCACCCATCAACGAAGAAGGCAGAACCATTGCAGGAATGAGCAAAGAGGTACTTCCAGTCAGTTTGATCAGATTACGTGGGAGTCGTAGAGTGCACTCTCTGGTCAACTTTGGCCCCATCTGGAAGTTAATGGCTGCGGTTTGAAAAATGCAAACTGTGGGTCATGTTCTGAAACAGAACAGAGTGAGCTTAATTAATTTTTCAACATAATAGGTACAAGCATGAAATGTCTTCACTTGAGGGAAACGTATCTTGAGTGCGGTTGCGAGGCAGGAACAACATCTTTAAGCTTACCAATTTAAGCACCGTTGCACCGTTCCCGGAGAGAGGTTATAGACTCTTTTCAAGTGTGTGGTGAAGATTTCATCGATGTTCATGTTCAGTTCCATACCTCCCCTTTTTCATCTGCAGTGGTACGTCCCATTGATGCAACCAGCCAGTCGGGATGCAGATGGCGAGGACTCGACCACATCAGTAGGAGGTTCCAGCTGACAGCAGCGATTGCACAGTGCCACTGGCCCAGAACTCTTGCCCAGTAAACATCTTGTAAGAAGTGCTTAGTTGAACAGGACGTTGACTTTGACACCAAAGCAACAAGAAGTGGATTGGAAAGCCTAAACTGAGTGAGGAACTCAAGATTTTGGCAACTAATCTCCAAGTCCTAACGTAATAAGTGTTTCCTGTAATACCGGCTTGCCGTAATGGACCTTTTTAAAGACAATGGGACTGTCTGTGTTAACGACCTTTGTGCGAGAAAATGAGCTGTATTTTTAATTTCAGGGTTTTAGACTGTGACTAATATGTGTTTGCAATGTGTGTGCATCATCTGACCTGTAGCAGTCTTTTTATTTGATACTAAACATAAATTTATGCATCTGTCATTTGAATTTTCTTTTTAAGTAAAAGCAACACGACAAAGTAGTCGCATCAGTTTGATGCTAGAAATTCACATGCTAAAACTTATTCTTCCCGTTATATTTATTGCATAAAAAATAAAATGCAACCCTCTTCAATCTCACTGCATCAACAGAAATTGGAGCAGTTTAGTATAACCATCACAGAAAATCAATGGCATTTGGGAATAGTTTACTGCCGCCTATTAAAATGCAACAAAAATTGTCCAAAATTACTGGGGTTTATCTAAACATTTTGAAGGACGATTGCATGTACACAGTTGAAATTAAGATACGAACAAGAACTCCCCAAGAAATTAATATTGTCAAAATGTGATAATAAAATCTTGTCGATCAATGTTACCAGCAGTATTGAAAATATGAGATAATTTCAAATTGTCAAAAAGAGTTATACACTTGGACTTTTTCTTCCTAGATTTTCTGGTCTCCGTTTCTTCACTGTGCACCTGACCACCAACGACCTCGCTAGGCACAGGCTGGTGGACAAATCTGATCTTTTTCTTACTCGGTTCCAGCAAACCTGTATCCTCCGCGGGGGCAATACTCTCCCTTTTCATGAGTTCTCTTAGCTTTCTTTGCCCTCTTCCTCGCCGCCCTGCTGTCCAAGTCCACTCCCAGTTGCTGACCTTCACACTCCCTTGTTGAATATTCATGACT